TCTTCTCTTCTCTTCTCTTCTCTTCTCTTCTCTTCTCTTCTTTTCTTCTTCTTTTCCCCACTAGAGTAGATATATCTCCCAAGCAAGTTATCATACATGTCTAGTTCATTTCACCAAAAAAAGATTTGATTAATTTCAATTTCATGGGATGACAATATCACCCCATTTTTCTCTCTAAATGAATTTCAAGAAGCGTTTAATTTCATTATTTCAGTTTCTCGAGTGATGACGATTTCAAAACACTCCCTTCACTGCTTCCCGCTCAGCATTTCATTAATAGGAAAACGCATGAAATGCGCGAGATAGATTAATTTAACATCGAGTAGCTCATTTACAACTCAATTCTTACGTTGCTCTTGACATGAAATATTCATCAATTATTACCATCGTAGAATTTTTTGATTAGCTTTTATTTATTGCCTATTGCAAAAAAAGTATATTACCTCCCAAAGAACCAACGCTCTATTAAGCGGTTTGCGGGAAAAAATACTTTTTGTATAAAATAAATTAAAAATTAAATCTCCATTACAATACTTGAAGATATCGATTATGATTAAGCTTAACTTGTTTACATTAACTACAAATTTATACAAATTCTAAATTACCATCTATAAGTATATCTATAAGTATATCTATAGTATTTTCAACTATTACACAAACCTAAACTTAAAAACAGGGGGAAAGGTTTATAAACGCAGTTTTTTAAAGGTTTCTTAACGCCCGTGAAAGTGTTGAGGATTGTCGAGACGAAAACCAATGGCTGCGGCTTTGTTTTGGCGGGGGTTTGTTGGCAGAACACGTCAATGAGTGACTTATTGTGGGAAAGGTCTAGCATTAGTAATTTCACCAAACTATCATGGCCTTATTCAAGTCTAATGCTGTCTCAATATTTCTTGTTTTTTATGGATTTTCATGCAATTTTTTGCCTTCAACTAGTAACAATTTGGAAGTTTGTAACTTGTGTAGATGTTACAATCTTTTTGGTCTCGCAGTGGTTAACTGTTCGTCTAGTGGGGTACCGAAGATTATTCCTGATGAAGCTAAATACTTGTAAGTACTAAAGATGCACAAAATTGAACCGTTTATCTCGGCCTGCGAAGTGAGCTGCAATCCTAGGCTCGAGCGATCCGTCCTTTAAGATAAATTAAGTTACTTTTGAAACGTTTGAACGTGTTAATCTAGCGTGGAAGTTAAATGATTTATCTTTAAACCCCGTGCTTTTAAAAACATCATATCTGAAACAGGGTCAAGAAATGATTCAAGTTGACAGTGCCACAACACAGTTGTCTGAATTACAACTATCCGAATCATTGCTCTTGTAATAATCTGCCTAGCACTTATCCATGTTTTAAAATGATAAGCTTTAAGCCTTATAACATTTACAATAGTCTTTTAAAGGTATTTCTAGCGCAAATTTCGTGTGATATTCTAGTGACCATGGTCTTGCTGAGGGTGACGTTAGCTCGCGAAACGTGTAATCGTACAACCCCAACACCACATTTACCTATATCAAATTTATTACCCGTCTAGCCAGCTAAATGTGTCAATAACAAGGTGTTTTTAATCTTTGTGCATAAGAATTAATTCTCATAATCCATTTTTCAATGATATTTAAACGCTCTTACGTTTTTAGGAATGCCACAAGGAACGCGCGCGCTTGTCAACTACTAGTATTAGTCATGTTTGAACTTTGAAGCTAAATTTTTCTTCATTCATTAAAGAACCACGTTAGTACAAATTTATTAAAATTGGAGATTAGTCGCTAAGAACGTCTTTGTATTTATTTTGTTTGGAAAAAATAAGCTCAAAAACTTATATCTCATTAAACCCCAGACATATTTCACTAAAACGTTAAAAGATTAGTTTTTTCTGCACTTTGATATTCATTTGGGAATAGTTTTTTGAGGATTAATGTTTTCAAGAAACTCCGACAAAGATAATGGATTTCTGAATGGCTTCTTTATATCTGAAGTTTAATGGTATTACTGTAAAAGTGAGATTGGCTATTGTGAACGAAATATCGTGTATCGGAAATCGGAAATTCCCGACCTGCCAAGTCGTACAAAACTAAGTCATTTGTACGGTTTAAAAGCCGCTCAAGTTACAAAATTAGGTATGTCGAACTAAGTATATGATAGGATTCAAGAGAGCATTGTTCGATTCATGGTCTTATGTCAATAATAATTAATCAAATCCCCCCGTCATTTCCTCCATCCATAACCTAATTTAATAAATATTTATTAATACTTCGTTTGTTTGAGGAGCTGTTGACCAAATCAAATCTAGTTCAGAGCATTAGGAACAGGTGTCATTGCTCTATCCTCCTTTTTTCCTCGAGTTGCTCTTCTCCTAATGGATCAAACGTTGTGTTTCTAAAATATTCATCATCGTTTCAGATCCTTTGAAGGATTTTGTTGTACTCGATCACAAGCCGGAACTTTTAACGACTGTTATTTTTCCTGCCCGTCGGAGTTCTCGCTTATCTGTGACTGTTAATTACTCCATTGATCAATGCTTCATCTAGCTTTGCGGAACTTTCACTGCTGGATATGTTTTTGGAGTAAATAAAAATTCGCCACGGTTTGATTTTGAGCTTTCTTAGCCTGGCTTGGTCGGCAAGTCTTCATTAGATATTTTTGTGAAATAAAAAATAAAAAGCTATTGAAGACAAGGAAAGAATAACAAGACAGCTTTAAGAGAAAAAAAACTCGAGTTTTTAACTGGATGTTATCTATTTCAGTCCTACTTAAAATATTGTTTTCGAAAGCTCCAGTTCAGTTGTCGGGGAGGTTTGTAAACATATTATTGTTTAGCAAACATGGCGGCAAGACTTGACATGAATTGACATGGCTTCCTCTCCCGGAAAATTATTGTTCGTCACCGAAACGCCCGCGTTGCTTGAAGGATGTGATTTCGCGATACTCTGTGGTACTTTATCACAGTAAAAACACCCACAAATGCAAACACATAGCGGTAAAAAAGAGTTTTATCAAACACAACTTGAGGATATACCAGTAGACATGACTAGCGTTCAATTTTGGTTAAATAATTTTTTTTCAAAACAAACACTGCCTCTCCTTTCTGTCACCCGTGTATACGAAAAGGCGGAAAATAGATGGCTCATTGACCTTCAAGTTGGAAAACGCGTCTGAATTTTTAAGAAAGTAAAGCATCATATACGATAAAGATAATTTGAGAGGTTACGATAATCCTGTTTTTAGCTGCCTTGACCTTTCCGTTTCTTTTTCAAGTATTGAGCAAAATTACAAGCCTTATTTTAGTTTTTGTGATCTTACATATTATATTCTTGGTCGCTTGTAATTCAGACGTGCATGCTGACAGATATGTTCTATTCTCTATGTATTAAAGCTGGACAGTTCTATAATATTGTGGCTATGACCTTACTTGTGTTCTCGTAATTCAGAAGTGCGTGCTAACAGATATGTTCTATTCTCTTTGCATCAACTATGACCTCATTTGTGGTTAAATTTTTGACATCGCTCTATTATTTTTTGCTTGTATATTTTGTGCGCTTGAAGTTTTGGCGCGAAAATCGTCGCAAGCGCGTGAAAAGCGCGCGAACCCGAGAGAGCGATTTTTAAAATTTTTTGTTTTGCCGTTCAAATCTTTTTTTTGGCACAGTCCAATGTTACAAACTGCAGTGGAAATCAAAATATGAATATTTCTACTGTTTTTCTAAGATAACGAACCATCATTTACAAATAGACAAACTTTAAAGTAAAGAGGACGCTTTCTTTTTTGATTTTGCATGAAATAATGACATGGTACGGAAGTCGCTTGCCAGGAATATTGATAAACTCCTTAACGTAATCGGGCTTCTGATTGGTCGGTTTGATTATCTACTTGACCAATCAGCGGAAACATTAAAATCATTAAAGCCATAAAGAGATATATTTATATAAGTTATTTTCCTTTTTATTTTTGGCGTATACATCAAGTTGAATCTAAGATTCTTTGTTTTGTGTCATCGATATATTTCTTTAAGTTTTACTTGTAAGCAAAGAAAAGATACTCAAGAGAATAACAATTAACAATTATTCTGAAAAAAAAAWATCATACGCTCTCTTTCATCCAAAGTTTTCAAATTTTTTTTATTTGCGGAAAATTTGCCGTCGCGACGAAGTAGGGTTCCACTGACAATATATAGTCACGTGCAACTACCTCGACAACAGGGCAAAACCAAACAAAGATGACGGAAAATATATCAAGTTTCGTGTGTTTGTCTTTCTTGTATGGGTAAAGGTGATCGATGTGCTGTCTTAATTCAACTTTTGTTGTATTCTCTTGAGATTGGCTGTTAAGAGGAAATTTTTTTCAGTATCGCGATCCTTCTATAAGTTTGATCGAGGGAGAGTCGCCAATATAAACCCGTATTGTCGGCTCAAAATCGCAATAAGTTATGAAAAGCGCCAAAAACTGTTATTATTTTGATCCCAATTTTCGTTTTGGGTTAACACTCAAAACCTTTTTTAAACAGTTAGAAACTGATGTACTACGATAAAATGCTTGTTTGAAGCGGTATTTTCAATTGTTAGAATGTTGCTTTGTCAGGCTTTTTTATAGAAAATATATGGGAAATAAGCAAATGAAGGCCTAAACCTCATTTTCGAATAATTTTTTTGCTTTGGGTTAACACTTTGATTCCACTTTCATCGGTCATCTCCACTTCCAAACAAGTTAAACTTTCTAAATAACGAGATTTTAGCCTCGTACAACAGCCTTTCTTCAAGAAAATAGTTTTTGGCGCTCACTGCTTGAATACAAAAAGAATTCTCTCTTAATATCAATCGACGGTTTAATGCAACAAAACTTCATTTTCCTTCTGTAATGGCCGCCGTATCGTCGAAGTAGTCCATTACGCACTGTTTTTATTCTATTTTATTGGGTAACGAAAATGGGGGGAAAGTTGCAAGGTTACGTAGTTACGTAGTGCGATTTATAATATATTATTGATTTTGCTTTTCACAGAGACCTTTCAAATAATGGAATCTCGAGTCTTAGACAGCATCATATAGAAGCATTCAAGAATGTAGAAATAATGTAAGTACGATTTTATTGAACCCTGAAACAACTTCTGGGCTGATCTAAGTCAGGGCATGGCTAACTCACACATTGAACCCTGAAACAACTTCTGGGCTGATCTAAGTCA